CAAGTATATATATTTAAAGTATATCTGTATATATACACTTGAAAAAGACTGCAAATACATATATTTGCAGTTTTCTCTACCCAAATATAAGAACCATCTAAAGTTTTTAGAAAAGTATTTGAAATTCTGATATCTGATAAGTAAAATACCATCCACATTCTACTTGTTTGGAATCAGTTTTGCAATCCTTTGAAGAATCACCAGAGTAAGATTTATAAACACTGGGTATCTTATGTCTTATAATAGATGCATTTGTTGTTTTATTTATTCTGCTTGTCATAAGTAAAGATGTAATGACATTGCTACTACAGATATTTCCTTTTCAGCCCAAGGAAACTTTAGTTAATGGCACAAAGGGTTTATGTAGGGTTCATCCATATTTTAAATATAATATATGCTATATATACTCCCAAGCTGGAACTTAACAGTAATGCTTGGAAGTATGCTACAGAATCTCTTCATTGGTAATGCTCCTGCTAAAGAATTTCAGCGTGCCAATATGACACATAAGATAGACTTGCTTTAAATCACTTTTTACTCCATTGTGAGTATATCTGTATAAATTCATTCATGTAGACTGAGCCTTCCCCCTAATTTCAAAAAATAATTTCAGGCCTTTCATTTCCAACTTGAGTTAGTAAAGTAAGTCCCTACCCAATGGGGTTTGATTTTTCTCTCCAGTTAAGTGATCAAAGCTAAATCATCAAAGCCTGAATGTCTTACAACAGATTCTAATAAGTTCCAAGTTGGCTATTCTTCTTAGTTTTAATCAAAGCAAAGATGACATTTGCATTTTTGTCATCTCTATTTCAAAGTGTTATTAGAGTTAGAATCACCCTGAATGGTTCCACATCAATAGGATCTGGATAACCAGACCCAAAATCTGTCCCTGCCAGAACAGGGGCCCATTTCTACATAAGTGGTATAACACCTAAATACATAAACATTGGAATCATGTGTCTAGATTACGTAGAACCAAGTTGACATGAAAGGAAAATGCGGATAATCTGGAGTTCTTACATAGAGTCCTTGACCCATGAATAGCATCCTAGCCCTCCCCTAAGTGTTCTTCAGTCCCCTTGACATACCATGGTTCCCCCCTTGCATCCTTCATATCACATCTCCCCGACAACAACCAACAGTCGTTGTGCCAGCTCTGCCTTGCTTTGTTTTTGTTTTTTGTTTTTTGTTTTTTTGAGACAGAGTCTCACTCGGTCACCCAGGCTGGAATGGATTGGCACAATTTCGGCTCACTGTAACCTTTGTCTCCCGGGCTCAAGTGATCCTCCCAACTCAGCCCCCTGGGTAGCTGGGATTACAGGCGTGCACCACCACACCGAGCTAATGTTTTGTATTTTTGGTAGAGATGGGGTTTGACACATTGGCCAGGCTGGTCTTGAACTCCTGACCTCGGGTGATCCGCCCACCTCAGCCTCCCAAAGTGCTGGGATTACAGGCATGAGCCACGGCATACAGCCTCTGCCTCGTTTTCTGTCTTTGTTCTACTTACAGAGTACTCTTCTATTGCTCAGTTAGCTCTATTAACCATGAGTCATGGATGAGAGGGACAAGGAATGCAAGAGGTAGGGGTATGTGTGTGTGAGAGAGATATATATACCTACAAAACCATTACATGGTTACCCAGCCATGCTTACCATCACACTGAGAATGTACTGCTGGTCTTTGAGTGACCTAAACTATCATGCTTTGCTGGGTGGGACCCTGGAATACGTATATTATCCACAGCAAATGTGCAGCATTGGTAAATTTTAGAGTCAAAGCGTTTTATTTTTAATAACTTTTTTTCTAGAAATGGTGAGACTTTGGGCTAGAAAGTTATTCGTATGATTTCTAAATATGCAGAAGTTCAGAAAACCTTTAGAAATATCCTCCCCCAATTATTTGAAAATTAGAAACTCAAAAATAAATTGGAAGGCTGAGCACGGTGGCTCACCCCTGCAATCCCAACACTTTGGGAGGCCAAGGCAGGAGGATCCCTTGAGTCCAGAAGTTTGCGACCAGCCTGGGCAAAATAGGGAGACCCTGTCTCAAAACAACAACAAAAGTTTTAATTAGCTGGACATGGTGGCATGTGCCTGTAATCCTAACTACTTCAGCTACTTCAACTACTTCGGAGGCTGAGGTGGGAAGATCACTTGAGCTCAGGAGCTCAAGGCTGCATCGAGCTGTGATCAAACCACCACATTCCAGCCTGGAGTACAGAGCAAAACCTTTTCTCAAAAAAAAGAAGAAAAGAATTGGAAGAATGTGCTGAAGAGTATTTGATTTGAAATAAAATCCATACACTTAAAGCACTATATATAGCCAAAATTAGATTTCCATGTTTACTATAGATCTGTTCTCATTCTTAAGGGGATTTTATCCAACTGTTTTGTTGGCAAAAAAGCAGATTCTGAATCCACCCTCAGTGATTTGTTTTGTTCAGTCTTGGCTTTTGGACCAAAATAATAACCACTTATTATTTTGCCAAGAACTTATCATTTCCACTAATATATTTCTTGACAATTGCACAATAATCTTGACTATCATGAAAATGACTTTAGTTAAAATGTAAGTATATGAAAAAGTATAAGTATATAAGACACACAGATATATGACACACACCCCACATATTTATATGTATTTAAGCTAAAAGATGGCTCTGTGTCAAAATGGGAAATCCAAATATTTGTATACTTTGAGGGAAAAGATCAAGAACATGTGTTTTAATTTGTTTTTCATTGTCAAGAGGTGAGGGATGGGAAATATTGTGAGTAATGGATAATTTACCCTTACCCTCAAATTATCAACTGTATGAGTTCTTAGGAGTAGCATTTTATAAGTACTGTATATCCATATTTACACAGGAATGTAACACAGATAACACTAATATTGAATTTGGGGAGAAATGTTTAAAATTTCCTCCAGCAGATAATCAAGTATTTTCTTGAATTTTAATTACCAGTTCAATAGAGAAGTGCCGGTTCAATAGAGAAGGGATTCATATTTTCTTAGAGCAGAAAGTATAAAAATGATTTCAGAATGTCCTGTTTTAACCAAGAATGAAGGAGAGCTGTGAGCCATTTGCTTCCTGAGTGGCCACATTCCAGCTCTGCAGACTGGTCATAGCACATCTGCCAATCAGAACAGTCCCTGGAGGGAAGCTCTTGGATACTGAGTCTTGTTTACATGCATCGTGACTCTGTTTCTCCCTTCCTTGTACTACTAGGAAGATTAGTGAAGAAAATCGCTACTACAGACTAAATAAACTATGAAACTAGGATCACAGCCACACCAAATGATGTTCTGGACAGAGTTTTAGCTTGACTTTAGCCACAGGTAAGAGTTGTTACTTTGTTATATGAGGATAGCTCCTCTGTATTCAGTTTCTGACTTTATTTTGAGACATTTTACTTCACTTTTGTAGCGAAGCTAGCAGGCTAAAAACTAGAGAAGAAGGATTGAGAAAGATGATTTAAATGTGCCCTGTATTACTATGACTTTAAAATCTTAATACTCATCAAATGAAAACATATTTTCATTTAAGGGAGGGGTAAAACCAAGTTAAAACAGAAAAGTTTTAAAAGCTGCAGTAATACTAAGTCACAGTGTCGAGAAATTGGAACCAGAAACATGCTAACATTGTGTATTTGGAGAGCATTATATCTAAGCAGACATGCTTTATTGTGAATCCTTCTACTTATTAGTCTTTCAGAGAACAGTGTTTTCATGAGTACTAACTCTTTGGCTTTGAAAAACATTTCTTTTTTATTATGAACTCATTCAGAAAGAATTGTTACATACATTTCATTTAACTGTATAAATTCTATTCCTTTTTTTCCACATATCTTTCTACAAGTTTTAGAGCATGTTTCATAATCCTTATTCTTCCACTAGCAATAAAATTAAGGAAAAACTAAAAGAATTCCTGTCTAATCTTTACTTTGGCATTAAATTCTATCTTGTTAGCATTAATTCAGAAGATACTATAGAAAACTGTATTTTGGTAATATTCTGTAGGATTTTTTCTTAAAATCATTGCTTAGGATATGTTGTAGTTTGTATATTGCTTTATATTGTTTATTTTTGCATAACACTGAGGCCTTTTACTGCATTTTTAATTCTTAAGCATATAGTGGTGGAAAAATTGTTACTCAGATTCAAAAAAGACAACTTGTGGGTTTTGTGGTGGTTTCTCTTGTATATGATAGTCTCAAGGTTGATTAATAGCCTTTTACAGCAGTCTGGAGAAGCACTTTTGAAAAGTTCAAGCATCTTTGCTCTTATTTCTTACCCTATAGTTTCTCCACCTCTGCACTACTGACATTTTGGATGAGATGGTTCTTTTGATAAAAGGGGCTGCCCTATGCATTGTAGGACCTTTAGCAACATTCCTGCTTTCTACCCATGAGAGCTCCCTTCTTCCCAGATGTGATGATCAAAAATTTTACATAGAGAGCACATTATATCTAATTACTGGAGAAACATCCAACTTCTGAAATGTTCTGGGTGATAGATAGTTAAGGGTGAAGCTGTACTGGTCTTAGTATTTGCAGATGTAGCTGACTGCTCATTTTCCCCCCTCCCCATCCTCTTAGAAGCTGCTGCCAACCATGATTCATGGAATGATTTTTTTGAGCTGAGTAATCTGTGGCTTTGCAGTTTCCTTGCTTTCTTTCCTTAGCTAAATCTCTTCTAGTTTTAGCAAAGTGTTTAGCACAGGAAAGATCTTTTAAAATGAAATAATACATGTAAGGATACATTTTCTGAGTAGATGTCTTTAACCAGAAAAAGTTTTTATACCTGTTCTTTGTTGAGTCTTTTCTACCTCTGTCAGGCAAATCCTCTCAAAAGTGATGAAGAGCCTTATACTTAGGAAGACACAACTACCTTTGAACAATCCTTTGTGAAATCTTATGGTATAGCAGCTGGTATTTAAAAACTTCTTTCCAGAGCTTTGAAAGAACATTTTGACATGTAACCATCTTCTTTCTCCACAGATCGCAACGAACGAAATAAACCAGAACATCGTTCTTCAAGGTATGAATTTACACTATCCAATAATTCTATATAAAGCTTTTTATTTGAAAAATGTTGTTTGGAGGCAATGTAAGTGTCCTCTTTAGAATTACTGTCTATTGGAATCTTTTGTGGCATTCAGAGAAGCTTCATAAGGGAAATCTTGTTCATTCTCTGAATAAAAATTTCTTATAAAACTATTGACTACCTGGAAAACATGTTTTATTTTGAGAATTCCTATAAGTGACAGATATATCTTTATAACAATTATTTTACTCTTATTTCTTTATTTTTGTGACTTATTTTCCTCCCCTCCCTTTAACCAGTATTTTTCAAGTGTGTATTGCTGTTCTGCTAATCATAAAACTAATATAGGCTCACTGTAGAAATTTAAAAGATATTTTTAAAAATACAAAGCATGGAAAATGCAGAACAAAACAAAACCCAGACTTCCGTCCATCAGCCAGAGATGGCTGGCTATTGCTTAAATTTTGGTACATTTCTTTTTAGACTTTTAAATTATGTGTGTATGTATATATTCAAATGGATTATTTTATGTTCTTGTTAGGTATTTCAAGTGGCCAGGAAGGTTGTATCCGTTAAGCTCCCAACCACACTGAGGATATTTCCCTAGAATTTCTTCAACACTGAGTACATTAAAAAATCCTTGTCAAATGTATAGATGGAAAATTGTCTGACTTCTTGTAGGCAGGACTGACAGGCTGTATTTAATATTTTTAACCCACTACTATGAAAGATTATAATTTTTCTAATATTAATTTCTTTTTCCACATTCTACCACCTTTTTTTATCTTTTATGTTATGGGAATTATTAAAGTAATGTACACATTAAATTGTTAATGTACCCAATCTATAAAAACTTCATTACTTAGAATAGCAATGCATTTTGCAAAAATAATCAATCAAAATCTTAGTGAGACCTAATATGAGAGAAGAATATAGCTGGGTGTTTAAAATATTGACTGATTTTTTTTCCAGGTATAACTTACATATATTAAAATTCATTCTTTTTTGTGTATAATCTTATTAGTTTTAACAGGCATGTACAATTATGTATCTACCACCATAATTATTAAACAGTTTGTAAGATTGTTTCGTTTTAGATACTTAAAAAGAATAGCAGCCAGGCATAGTGGTTCACACCTGTAATCCCAGCTACTTGGGAGGCTGAGGCAGAGGAGGATCACTTGAGCCCAGGAGTTCAAGACTAGCCTGGGCAACGTAGCAATACACTGTCTTATCTGTTAAAAATAAAAGTAATGCAATGTAAGAGAAAGGACTTTGACAGCATGCTTAACTGTGGGTGACAAAAAGCTGGAAGAGTAAAAAATACTTAGCTTGATAAAACCAGGATCCCTAAGAGCTTTTACATTCTGAAGATAGGACTGAACTGAGCAATATGAATTTTAATAGCCACAAATCCAAATCCTAAGAATGAAACACCAGTGGAACATAAAAAGATAAGGATGTGACTTACAAATATTTTGAAAAAGTCTGAAGGATTTAGTTCTTTATAAATTCACCATGAATCAAAAATCTTATGTCACTATATCTTCTTCCCCCAAAAAGAGTCTGTACCGATTTGATTACAATGAAAGAAGTTTAATACTCGGTCTAAAAGTGGTAGCTCTAGACCATAGTTTTGATATTCTGTTCAATTCAGGGTCCACAAGACCTTGAAAAATTGAAGCATGCAGTGGATTGGTTATACAGATATCACATTAAAAAAATGAAAAACAGAATCCCGTGCCCCACCCCAGAGATTCTATTTAATAAGTCTGGAATGAATCCTCAAAATTTGTGTATTAAACAAGTCCCCCAGTGATTCTGATGCATAGTCAGGTTGGGCACCACTGGTCTAGAATATAGCAGCTGAGTTGGGACAGGGAAGATGAAAAAGAAGAGAAAAATCAAAGCTAAATCATAGGAAGACTGGTGTGAGGAACTGAGAGAACTTAGCCTATATGTGGAAGTTTGGGGAAGTGCATGGGGTGGAAATGATAACTGGCTCGAACACCCAGAGGCTGGTACATGGAGAAAACTAGAAGAATTCTTCCTGATAAATGCTGTTCCCTACTAAGAGGAACCCTGACCACTGGAGGAATAGTGGATTCTGGGTCTGGGTTAGGGGAAAATGCAAGATGATCCTGGACTTCTCGTTGTGGTAAAAAGCTAGGAAGTGCTCAACTAATGGGGTCATATTGAAAAGAGAGTTGGTAGCTTCAAGGGATTTTCAGTGGCCAAATTTTGGGGCAATTTGAATATCAAAAAAAATGATGATAATGGATCCCATGTAGAAGAAATGACAGAATTTAGAAAATCATCATTTTGAAATTCTCAAAGTAATAGTTGATGCAGGCAAAGATCGTCAGTGGCAGCTAAAACTTCTGGAAAAAGTTGTTGGGAAGGCTGAGAACGGTGGCTCACACCTGTAATCCCAGCACTTTACGAGCCCAAGGCGGGCAGATCACGAGGTCAAGAGATCAAGACTATCTTGGCTAACACGATGAAGCCCCATCTCTACTAAAAATACAAAAAAAATTAGCCGGGCATGGTAGCACATGCCTGTAGTCCCAGCTACTCGAGAAGCTGAGGCAGGAGACTCATTTGAACCTGGGAGGCAGAGGTTGCAGTGAGCCAAGATTACGCCACTGCACTCCAGCCTGGGTGACAGAGTGAGACACCATCTCAAAAAAAAAAAGTTGTTGGGAGACATGAAAAGGTACCAGCTGCTGCTAAAAAAAAAAAAAAGTTGTTGGGAAAAGTTGTTAAAATATCACCCCCTAGATCAGTTTTTAATTGCAAAGAGGAAAAATTTACCTTTTCAATGGAGAGACCTAGTGGTTGCCATCTAAATCAAGTGATCAAGATGTATATTATCACTCATGAGATAAGCAGTACACTTATGTAGTAGTCCTGGCAAAAAAAAAAAGAGGCTGGGAGAATATTCCAGATTACATGAGACCAAAGAGGCTGGGCACAGTGGCTCACGCCTGTAATCCCAGCACTTGGGAGGCCAAGGCAGGTGAATCATTTCAGGTCAGGAGTTTGAGACCAGCCTGGCCAAGATGATGGCCAACCCTATCTCTACTAAAAATTAACTGGGCATGGTGATGCATGCCTGTAATCCCAGCTCCTTCTGAGGCTAAGGCAGGAGAATTGCTTGAAACTGGGAGGAGGAGGTTGCAGTAAGCCAAGATCGCGCCACTGCACGCACACGAGAGAGACACCAAAGAGATATTGACAACCAAATTGAATATGTGAATTAAAAAAAAAAAATCTGGGACTGAAAAATCCCAACTTTAAAAAAGGTTGGGGAGGGGAGAATTTAAACATGGATTTAATTTTAAATGTGTTTTATTAAATATTACTCTTTTAGGTGCAGAATTAGAAATGTTATTATGCAGGAGAATGTGATTCTTAGGAGATACATGCCCAAGTATTAAGGGTGATAAAGTTTTATGTTTGCAACTAAATCTCAATTCGGTGGAAAAACTCAGGATGAGCAATAAAGAAGCAGATATTGGAAACTATCAATAACTGGTAAATAGATGAAAGGCATATAGGTGTTACTTATACTGTTTCTTCAGCTTTTTTATAGACATGAAAATTTCAAAATAGAAAGAAACAATAGAGAGAATTGTTGCATGTGTGTTCCTGGGAGTCCCAGAGGACAGAATGCACCTCTGTGCGTGGAACTTAGAGAGGGATACGTTTCTGCACAAAATGAGGAAGAATTTCCTGACAGAACTGGTCAAAAATGGAATGGGCTACTCAGTGAGGGAATACTGTCAAGGAAAAGCTAAACAAGCTAGCACCGGAAATAAAAATAGAGAAGATTCATGCATGGCTAAGTCATTATTCTAGATGGCTCCAGTTCCTTGCTCACTAATAGCCAATAAATATCTCTTTTGAGTCTCTATTCTGGCTCAGGATACAATAGAAAATAAGAAAAAGTCTCCAGGTTGATGGAAAATCCATTCTTGTGGACTTAGACTCCCAATCTCTGAGAATCTATTGACCCTGAAGTGAAGTTCCCAGTCTTTACAGTTATATTTTAGGCAGTGCTGTGGTACTCTTGAGGGTATTTGAAAAGTATTCTGAGTATTCCTTAATCTGTTATTTATACTGTCAAGTTTTCTAGGACTGTGCTACTGGTCTTAGTAACCCTGGCACTTAGTAGAGTGCCTCGCCCACAATAAACAATAAATAACTGTTTGTTGAATAAATGAATGCCAAAGGTATTTTGAGAAGAGAAAGGGAAATGTCAGTATTTTTCCCTTGCAAATCAGTAAGAACCTGACTCTCAAAAGCTCACCCACAACTATTATTGGATATGTGTGTTATAATAGCAAGGAGTGATGCTCTGTAAGAAAGAGAAATGTTTTTTCAAAGGCCATTGTTTTTTGTCCAGGGTGCATGCTGACATTGGCGATGACCTGTTCTCCTGCCATCCTCAGCTGAGCAGGGCTACCCCGCCAGGCCAGCAGTGCATCAAGCAGATTAATACCTGCTTCATCAACAGAGCAGAAAGAAGAAAATATAAACAAAAAGTCATTTAATTTCGGTATGTTTTCTGGGTCTCCTCAGGCCACTCAGCAGCAAGAATGATGGGCTCAAAGCCCAGCAGCGATAACAGAAATGCATTTCTCTTGTTTGTGTTTTTAGAGGCCACGCACTCCTATAGCTTTCATAGTAAGAGGTAAATAAATCTGGGACATCTGCCTGTTCTTTCACTTCAGTACTAAAATAAGAAGGAAAACATAATTCTTGTCAAGTTAAAGGAAAAGTTTTATCACATGTAGGCTAACACTAAGATCCCAAACAAACAAAGAAAAAACAAAATAAAACACTGTTTAAGCAATTTTTAAGGGGCATCCTGGGTGTTTTTGATTACTTTGTTTTGATGTTAATTTGCTTGCTGCAGATTGATCTATATACATGTGAGAAATATCTAAGTTGTTCTTGTTTCAACCTTATCAGTCTAAACACACCATTTC